GAGGATCCTTTCACAACCCAGGCACTGAATGTGGCCCCGCTTCTCCAACCGCCCCCAAATTACCACCATTTTGCAGGCAAAGCCTCAAGCATGAAAATTCAACGAATACTCTAGAGGTGAGAGGTGGCAGGAGATGATCAGCCAAAGTTGTGCTCGGTCTCCCCTTAGAGTGGCAACGCTTTTCATCCTCATTTTACTGTTTTCTGCTAAGGTGGCCGATGTTGCCTTTTAACTTAGAAAGTGAGCTGTGGGCGGAAGAGCCGAGGTGGAACAGAGGCACGGCTGCTCAATGCAATCACTAGAAAACTGCTGATTGTTCTCATCAGTAGGGCAGGCAGGAGATAATTTTAGAGCAGAGGCAGGAAGTCAGGAGGATGCTGACACCAACGTGCAGTGGGCACTGCTCACCCTTTTCAGAAGCACACCAAGAGCTTCACTTTCACGCCGCCGGGTTGTAAACAATACTAAGGCACATCTAGCCACCACAGGAAGGCTCTCAGCTCAGTTCCATACCCACACATTCAAAGGACCTCCATCCCCACCAAGTCACTTGTCTGCATGGCTAGTTTTTCAGAGGAGCTCAGCACCCTGGGGGCTTCTGCAGGTGCCTGCAGGGAGGCAAAGAAACTGCAGAAAAGCTGCCTGAGTGAAGGCTTGGAAAATCTGGCCCTGTGGGTGCCAAAAGGCATCTCAAAATAAAAGTTGCCCAGCATATCCACGCCATTTTAATAAATACTAGAAGTAGTGAAATGATTTTTTAATAATGCTTTGACAATTAAGAAGCCTGACAGAAACAGAAACCAGAAATACTTTATCACCAACTCTTGCAAAAACGTATTTTTCATTCCAGTAAAAGAAACACATCAACTTTCCTTGTTCCATCTTATTAAATATTTCCTAGACAAACTGGCCTGTCTTTGCTTAGTCAAATATCACTACTTGTCTAAAGAAAAATCAAAGAAAAGCTTTTATATGTTCACTGTTCTTGATATCAATATTCATTAGATGACAGAAATCATAGAGAGCATTCACTACTATCTGCGAAAAATAAGTTCTTGAATACATTTCCTCTGTTTTGATGTACCTACTTAAAAGAAATCTGAATAAATGGAGATCTAACCCTTATCATTCAGTGTGTTGGTTAAAGTCTTCTGAGCTGGAGAACTCCTTCAGCTTTCTTAGCAGATGAAAGCATAAGATTTGGAACCACAGCATACATGTCTGGTTGCTCGTGTGCTTCTTCAGTCTCTCCAGATTAGTTTATACCTCAAATGCTACTGCTTACACCTAGTGATTTCAGAAGATGACTACTCTTGTTTGAAATGTATATATGGGCCAATGGTGTAATAAATTCATAAAAGCAAAATGATACGCAGTCATAAATAGAAATGAAAACAAAGCATTTTTCTAGAGGGTAAGGTTCACAAATGCAAGGTTCACCAATGGTTTTCCAAAATGTTCTGCTGTACAAAACGGAGCTGCAGAGCGCGTCTGCACAGAGCTGCAGTAGTGGAGGAACTTTAAAAGCCGAATATCCAAGGGTCTGCTCATTGTGCTTTGCTCAGACTCCTGACTGCAGCGTCCAGTCCTGCGCTTTCCTCCTCACATTTTGATGGGATGTGGCACTGCAAAACTTATTAGTACTTACCATATAAGCTGCAGGAATTCACCTGTGCCAGAATGGTAAAGAAACTACCTAGATTTCTGTGCCAGGCATGTCTGGGGAGGAGTCTCAAGAGCCTACAGTCTGCAGGCTCCAGGACAAAACTGATATGCAATTGCTCAGCGATGTGTAATATTGAAGCAATACTAAAAAAAAATGACATTACAGTCATTTCGGTACAATATAGGCTAATACAGGATTCGGGGATTGCTCAAATTCAGCAGAACAGTAAATCAAAATTTCAATTAAAAGAGGATTATGAGTACTTATGTTTACGGTCTGTCCCAAGCCAAAGACTTAAGTAAGTCCTTGTTCCAGACCTTGGCTCTCATTTGTGAAGTCTCTATTTTCTGTTTTGCTTTGTTATTTAAACTTCATTTACAGAGCAGTAAGATTTTAATTTTTACAGCATTTTTTTTTCTTTCTGAGGCAGGAACTCATCTTCACCAAGTAAGTCCCTGCCCTACAAAACATTTCAAGCTAACACAGAGGAAAAGTACAATCCTGTCATATCTCTGCAACACGGGAGGTTTATGGTGGTGAAACCGTAACAGTCTGCTGGAGAGGGCAGCTTGTGCTGGCTGTGTGTCACAGAGCTGTACTCCATGGAGACGCTATAGGACCATCCACAGGAGGTGGGATGAGTGAGGCCACGTGTCCCTGGATCCACTGGCTGTTTTCCCCTAGGGAATGAGGAGAAACAGGAGCTACAGGAAAAAAACCCTATTGCTCTGCAGTCTGGGTGGGAGCCGCACAGCGAGCCCGTGGCTCTCCCGCTGGTTCCATTGTCTGCATGTGCCCACACCCACCCCAGGAGCACAACCAGTGGGCTCACAGAATACTTAGGCTTTAGTCCATACACGGTATTTTGCTTTGGCACAGTCCAGTTGATCTCTAAAATGTATGTCTAATATGTGTCATGCAGCTTTTAAAAGATCCCTCACACAGAACTACCTGCAAAATCATGGTGGGCACTGAAATGTTAGTAGTTGGGACTAGTCCTAAAGCACAGAGGAAAAGCAGCAGCCTACAGGATACCATCTGATTTGTGTAAAACCACATCTTAAACTCGATGATCACTCTGACATTTGCTTGTCAAAAACCTACACACCTCCCATGTTCATGGGATTTGTTTAAAAAAGAGACAATGTGTTACCAGGACTAGAACAGTGCTTCTCTTCTCTATATTTTTTACGCTGTTCACACAGTGGTTCTTGACTCAAATATTTTTTCCTTCATGAGCTAAACTTTGCTTTTCTACAGTGTCTTAAAACATTAAAAGAATGCTGTGACTGAAATCAAATAAAGCAGAACACCCTAAAATGAATCCTAGAAATACAGCAGTGTAAATGACTGTTTCAGTCATTGTGTATGGTTTCTGAATACACAGTCAAGGTGATCATATCTATCTTTGAAAGGCATGATGGAAAAAAACACCAGCAGCATAAGGGCAAAGTCTTACCGCTACACACAGGTATAAGAAAAATATACTATACTACTAATTCTGATGATTGCAGAAGCATGTTCCCTCTTACCACAGTTACGAGAGAGTTTGCACAGAATGTAAGACATTTTTCAATTATATAAAGACATTGTGAATGGAGAACCAAACAGGAATGGGGAGAAGCCATATTCACTATGAATACCTGTTACCCTTTACCCTACACTGGTGTTAAATTTTTTCTTTCAGGATTCCCTACACTGAAACAAAAAGATTTCACATGAATTTAGATCAGTACAGAAGACTAAACACTATTATCAATGTTTTCAACAATTACCATAATTAAAGATGTCTTTGCAGAATAAAGCCTATGCTCGTTCTCTGTTGCCTGCCACTAGGTAGACATTCCGATCTCTTCACATCAAATGAAGCGTCAAATATTTCAAACTCAGAATGGTGGTGGCATAAACCAACTTTGCAGCAGTGAATACTACTCCTATGGCTTGGAATATAGTGGTTAAAAATGGCCTATGTAAAGGCTGGAGAGGAAAGATGCTGCTTAATAAACAGAAGGTAACAACAGGCATGTATCTGAAATACTTATGGGGGTAACTTGGGTGGCAAGGCAATACCTGTTGACCTCCACAACAGATTTTTGTTGCTGAAAAGTGTTGTGCAAGAGAATAACAACTCTTTTACTTTCCAATTTAAGAAATGAACAGTCTTTAAATATACACAGACATACCCACTGGGGATAAAGTTTGCATAAGTAGGCTGATCCAGTGAAGCATAGCTACGTAGTACATACACAATAAGGAGTCAGTTGCCCATGTCAGGTTTCCTGTACTTTTATTTTAAATTAAAGTCCTGATAAAAGTCTGAAGTGCATGCAAGCTAACTGGGTGAAATTCCAAATGTGTATTTTATGGGATTTCACCTGCAAAAAGTTGGCAGGTCTCTTCAAGCCATGTGACATGACTCAAGTAGTGCTTTGTGGGAATTTCCCTCAGAAGGACTATTTTCACTTGGAAAGTCTACAAAAAAGCATTAATCTAATCATTCTTATAATTCTTCTTCTTTCCAAAACAACAACAACAAAACAACCACCCTTTTTTCCTACTTTCCCCCAAAAAAGTGTTCTTAGAAATAGAGCCATTTAAAAAAAAAAATCTAAATTTATTTGCTATTAAAATCTTCATACAAGCCTGCCTGGAATTCCACTAGCATGAGTGACTTTATTGTCACTTCACAGCCACCACCAATATAAGCTTCCAAAAAAACCTGGCACACGTGTTCCTGAACATTTCCTATACATGAAGCATTTTGCATGAAGCGCTCCGATCTCTATCCACATTGTGCTCTTCATGGCTAACCAAGAGTGGCATCAGCCTGGGGTGCTATTTTGACCCCACACAAGACAGCAAAGTACAGGATGAGGGGAAGGAGAATCCCCACACCACCTCCAGCTCAGAGCCCAGCATGCTTACAATGCTGTGATGCGAATTCAGAAGCATTATTCAAATGCAGCGTACCCTTTGGGCCACAAAATCAGACTGAGGGTTGACAACAACTTAGCAGAGAGCTCAGCGCATCCACAATTTATGGCTACACACGTGAGCTTGTGTTGGGGCTCTTCAGCTCTCAAAAGCAGAAGAAGTCCTTGTTCCAACAGGCCTCTGCCACCAATACAGAAGAAAATAATCTGCAGAGGTCTCTTGTGTGGGCAGCAGAGACAAAGACGGCTCTCAAGGTTTGATTCTCACTCTCATTTTATAGCAGCAGGTATACCTCCAAATTACTCAGGTTACTAAAGAATTACCAGAGCCATATATCTTTCTAAGTAATCATCATTATCTCTCATTTTTACTAGCAGAGATAAGGAATATATTTTGTTACCATTAGCAGGAAGATAGGTGAAAAGCTGGTACTGGCTTCTCTTTCTTTTTCCATTGCAGACATAGAAGTTGACCTGAACAGGGCTGGTAATTCTCTGATTGCGGAAAGGTGGTATCTCAACCACCAACGAATTCTGAAAAGCAAGAAATCAGAAAGTCAAGGCACAACTAAGGCAGTCGAGCTGTAAAATAGTATCCAGATGTTAACCCTGAGGAGGATGTGCCTGGGCTCACAAGGAGGAACATACTCTCTGCAGGGGAACTGGTGGGCTTCATGGGCAGGGATGGCCTCCTGTCCACAGTGTCTGTGCTAAGAGCTCCAGACATAGGGAAAGAAGATTTTAGCATGGCTCAGGTCTTCACAACATCACTAGCCTTTCACCTCTTCCCTTTGGACAGCAAATACAATGCTGCATATGGACAAGGCTCTATCCCTGCTTCCTCTGACAAGAAGCTGGGACCACAATCAAATTGTGGTCTTTAACTCAGCAGGAGAAAGTACAACTGCTTGGCTGGCAGGTCATGCCCAGTGTATCTCACCCTAACACAACTTCCTTTCAAAGGAGAATTAGGACAGGCATATGATTATTCAAACATTTCAATTTTCCACAGTGAAGTGTTTTTTCATATAACAACTTGTGAACTTTTAAGCATGCTAGTTTCTGTGGAGATCTCACAAAAACATCTAGTGCTACAGGAAGAAGGGCTGGAGAGAGTGTAGATAATCTTCCACTGTCCGAAACCAAATGCTGCAACACGGGGCTAAGGAATGACTTAGCTGCTAGGGCATCAGCTTGCAGAAATGCACAGTGAAATCTGCTATGACCATCAAAACCTCCCTTGGCACTTTTTGAACGAATAAAAGGGAACGCTCATCTTAGCACTTGGCCTGCATTCAGCTGAGGTCTTTAAATTGTTTGCCTGCATGTCTCCAGCAGGTTTGCAGCTTACAAACTGTTGTATATTCCTGCAGAGATGGAATAGTGGCTGTATTTCCCACTTACAGTCATGGCTGAGGAAGCCACACTTCTCCAACCAGGGGGCTGATCTCCTGTGAGGGGACTCACATTTCTTCTGCCGAAGGGAGACGAAAGCCAAGGAAAATGATCAGAAATTGCTTTGGGAGCAGAGGAAAGAACTGACCCAGCAAGACAGAAGATGAGCAGACAGGGCTGGCCCATCCTGGACAATGAAAAAATATTTTCCAAATGGTCTCCCCTACTTTTGGGACAGCTTCCAACAAAGGCTTTTTACCCCATGCTCCCATTAAAGAAAGATTTCCAGGAGGGGAGGCCTAAGTAGTTGTTCTGTTTCAGTGCGGAGACACAGTGCCAAAGCCTTGGAAATCCCTCTTTAGTAACAGTGCTAGAGAAGGCAATATATATTTTTCATCTTGATGTTAAAATATTTAAGTCAGACTTACTGGCTTGCACATTTCTTTGTCGGTTTTGGCTTCCATTTCCCACACATGGTGACCATCTAAAAGACAAAAGAAAGAGATATCTAGTTCCATCCTTTTTTCCTCTCCCAAGCCTACAAAAGAATGACTTTTGAAAAAAAAACATCTCTTTGAAGGGGCACTGCATATATGAAAACCAGCTCTCAAAACACATTGCCCCAGTGCTGCCCAACCAGGAGGCCATCCGGGTAACCTGCAACGGGAGTCCACTTAAGCTTTTTTGAAGAGGGGAACCACAAACAAGAGCGCAGGATACCGAGATGGGGGAAAGCCACCAGGAGTTTATTCTGCCACTAGTTTATACAAAATATGCAACTGTTCTACACCTTAGTTTCTCAAACTTTCACACAAATATACTGCTACCTATAAGGCCTTTTGATCACTACCTGTGCAGTAAGTCATATTCAACATTAATATTAAATAAAAACCAAAAAAGGTAATATTAAAGAAGCTCTTCAATCATGCAGTAGTTCATTTTAATATACTCCTAGTCTGGTTTGTCATAATTCTGATGCTTGGATCAAAAGGCAAGGCCATAGGCTGGGAAACATACCTTTTGACTCCATTTTAAAGTTGGTTTAGCTCAGCTACAGTTTTCTAGAGCTGCTTCTAGTGCTGTGTTGGATCTTCCTAACTTACTGTATTCCAGTTTTCAAGCAAACATAGGTTTAAGCCACAGCTATCATTTTTTTTCTGGGGACCCATCTTTGGAAGAAACTGGTTTTGTCTGGTCATTTTTCCTGCACCTCACTGATACAGAAGTCACTGGTCAATAAGAGGGTTTTTCTTCTTCCTTGTGGCTTCAAAACTCAACAGCAAAGAAATTAGAAAAATAATGCAAAATGTAAGGTTTCCATTCTGCGGGCCTAAGGAAACAAAAATGTGTAAGAAAGGCCACAGGCAGACTGCTGCCTAAGTTGGGCAGTGGGGACACATGCAGCTTCGTGACTCCCACCATTGTCAGATGTCACCAGAATGAAAGGGAAAATGAGACTTTATGTCATCTCTTTTGTATATTTATTGCAGCATCGGGACATGCAAATGCAAATATTAGTTATTTTGAAATTCATCACATAGACATGGGCCTGACTTAGAAAAACAGCTCTCGGCAAGGTAAAAGAGTGAATGCACTTTTTCTTCTCTCTTCGCTTTCATGGCCAGGACGGAGGTGACGCATTTAGAACGGCCTGATTTATTACAAATGTCTGTAAATAGTATTTTTGTGTACAGCTGTCCTACTGTGAAAGGAATGCTGCTGAGGGACTAGCCCTGGCGATTGTTTTAACGTCCATAACGTATGGAAAGAAGTGCAATGTGAAAACTGCAGCACAAATAGCACAGTGGATTTGGCAGGTCTTTCTGTAGGAAACAATTAGCAGATCTACCCTTAGTTTCTTCCTACTTTTTAAACTGTGACACTGTAAGAGGAATCCCTTTAATTGGTACTGCCATGTTCGGCTGGGGGTAGAGAAGGAACAGCCAGACCGTGCTCAAGTCTCCTCAGCGATTCCTTTTGAGAGTGCCAGAATTGAAGCAGGCTTCTCGGGAGGACTGGCGATCGCTTCACAATTTATCCAACAGATGCTTCCCCCAAGCCGTCAGTCGAAAAAAAACTGACCGAAATTCGGCAAGCCGGGACACATCCCTTGTCTGGGAGCAGCCTACTTTATCTCCCGCCCCCTCCCTACAGAGCCCCTGTAGCCCTCCCTTCCCTGCCTGCTTCCCCCCCCCCATTAATTCATTCAGTTGTAAAAGTAACACAACACACGCTATCACACATTTTGCAAAGTCTAGGAACTTCTGCTTTGTAAGAGGCTTGTTGGTGGGGTTTTTTTTTTTTTTTTTTTTTTTTTTAAATCTACAGACGTCCAGACTAGTAGTTAACATGTGTTCAATTTGCCTTTGTAAACGGATTACCAGAAGTTCAGGTTTTTTGCTATGTTTAATTTCTGCTTTGCAAGACGAATGATCTGATTCAGGTTTCTGTTTTTTATTTCCTGCTGATACTTCAGTAAAATTCAAAACGACTGCATCTCAGGCTAATCTTTCAATTACTTCACGCAGCACTGCCTTTATGCACTTTTGAAATTTTTGTGATGACAAAGAGAGTTTGTTCAGAAATATTTTAAATGCTGTAATCTAAACTATTAGGAAAATAAAAATCCAGAGCTGTAACTCGTCTTTGGAAGCTAATAAGAACAATACGGGTTTCGCTCCAAGAAATTCCCTTGAGACTGTCCAGACCATTGCTGCTCCGTGACTGAGGAGAAGGGGAAGAGAGGGAAGAAGTAGGGAACAGACAACTCATTAACAGCTAGTGACATTTCTTTTAACAAAAACACAGGGAGGAAAAGTTGTTATGAAGCAAGAGACAAAAAAAAAAAAAAAAAAAAAAAAAAAAAAAAA